AAAAAAAACTGACAGCGTTTATATCAATGAAAAAACCAACTTGCTAGTACAGCTTTTTCTTTGCAAAAGTTTTTGGTGAATTCTATCCCATGCTTCGTCCTTGCGTGCTTCGATATGATACTCCTCCGTACTCCAATCCCAGAGACTTGATTCCAGTTCCACGAGTTCGGCTATCGCTTCGCCGAATATGACACTCATTTGCACTTTGTTAACACTGCTCTGAAGTGAAAGTCTGAAAAAGTTGACTATTTGATGCGCGATTGATGGCAACTAACGATGGATCAAGTAAAGGTGCAATCATTAACACGATAACTGTTGAGAAATCTATGCTGATACAATCGAAAATATGCTATCATTCATTTGAAACTAAGACTCGGGACACACACTTGCACATATTGACACAGGCTTGGGCGTGTGCGTGAAGGCCGTGGATCGGAAAACTCAATAACTTAGGATTTTCGCGCGGTAGGTTGCTTATCACCTAAGCATGAAAATGGTGCAATACCTGTCGCACAGCATGCCCTCCCCGCTGAGGGAATTGCTCTTAAGCTCAAACGCGTAAGCCATTTTTACACGCTTTCGGACGAGTTGGCAATTCCCCTCTCAACGCTGGAGACTGCCCGCCGCAACGCTATAACTGTTGGGTTCCGCAACGATTCAGCGTCTCTAGCCTTGCTGCATTCGTCCAATTTCAAAACGAAGGGGGTTCGAAAAAGCACTTTTTCCCCTTATCAAGCTCTCTGAAGTGGATTTTCGGAATCAGCGCATTATGACCCTAGGTAAACGAGAATTTAATAGGTCAAGATTTGCCGAGCCACTAGCTTCAAAGGTTTACACTTGCAGTCCATCCCATCAAATATTCATTCCTTGGAACCAGGAAAGAACAAGTTCAGTTTTGTTAAGACATTATGTGCAAAGCGATTTCGAGTCTCATGTCAAAGGTACAGGAAGCAAAGCACGCAAAATTAAGCGCACCCAAGTTTGCAGGAGTAATCCAATTGCTCACAATCGTTTTAGGCAAGACAGATTCCAAAAGTGAAATGAGGGTATTGATAAGATATGCAATATACGACAACAAGATAATGACAGCAATGGACAGAAGTATGAAGTATGAGAATCCAACTGCTGCATACTGGCAGCAACAGGAAGAAAGCGTGGGCGGGCGCACTGAAAGAAGTAACTTATGATTTTGCGGGCTGCAGAATGGGTCCCGTGCAGATTGTATTAGTGATCATTCAGCGCGTCAACTGGGTCTCGTGCGCCGATTCAGAAGGCGTTCTGCGGACACCGGGCCGAATCTGATGCGATGTCCAGGGGACCAAGGCCAACAGATAAGTCTACTAACCGTGGCCATCTTTCCGATTAGTTAAATCTGCAGGGACACTGCTTTTGAAGGCAGCGCCCATTAAATCAAGTCTTTCTTGTTTCTAACCTTCTTGAGATTTTTTATGGCCCTGATTGTATATATGATTTGCATTCATTTCAAAACCTAAAAATCTCTGAATCTCTAAGCGGACAAGAGTGGACGAGTGTTCCGGTAATTATCGCGTCGTATGCATCATAAAATGCCGTCGGTCGTGTGCAATACCTACA